ATGGCTACACAGCCCCTAAGGGGGAAGTGATCATAAGCGGCAGGATGAAATCAACTCTTTCTACACTCCCGGCTCGACCTTCCAGGCAACCTCCAAGTGGCGGCTAAGGTCAGGCCCCAAGGCAAGTGATGACCCAACTTCACCCTAAACCCTGAACCTTAAGGGTTAACTTAGTGACGATACATGCGTTTTGTAGAGGGGTTATACATGACTATATAGGTTCATTTAGGATCATGTAAACTTATACCGGGGTTCTATAGGTGTTATAGGCGGATATCTATGGTGCTTTTATAGGGCTTGGTAATCATGCCCTAATCATGGAGAATCAACTGTGCAAAGGAAAATGAAACATTAAATGGCAACTGGTGTTCTGCTAGCTGTGTATAAGGCTAAGCGGCTAAGGGTTTCCGACGATTAGGGCCCCTCTTGCGGCTCCCTATACAAAGGCAAAAAAGAAAACTGTGCTCTATATGCGGGCGTTCCCAATATACGGCGGCGCATATTAAAAATCCTGCGTGACCGTGAGCACCTCATTCCCAGGGACGTATACCTAAACCCTAAACCCTAAACTCATACCATGATAAACATATGAGCTATGGTCTAAACTCCTAGTATCCCCCTAGTAACCCCTATAGTAGTTCCCTATATAATCCCCTATGCAAACCCCCTTTAAGGAGTTTAGACTATAGCTCATATATTCGTCATCAGGGGGAGTACCGCGGAGGGCTGTTCTGAGCTGAGGTCTCAGGATATTTACGAGGGGCGGAGCCTGAATCTGCAACCCTGAACGGTTGGCTAGGCTAGGTTTGGGAGCCCTATGAAAATTAGATTTTATGGCCTCATATCGGGATTAAGGTTAATAAAAGTCAAAAATATTTTCAAACCTACCCGCGCCTGCGGTCCGGGCCAAGGTGCCCCCAATATACTATAGTAGTTTCCATGTTCTTTTCCATTATCCTGATATAACCCCATTATACTATAGTAGTTTCCATTTTCTTTTCCATTATTCTAATATAACCCCATTATACTACAGTAGTTTCCATTGTCTTTTCCATTGTCCTAATATAACCCCATTATACTATAGTAGTTTCCATTTTCTTTTGCATTATCTCAATATAACCCCAGGGTTCAAGGGATGCACTTTGAGGGCTTTCTTGGCAACCTCATCGCATCTGCATCGGTTCCAGACATGGCGGCTGACTGACCCTTATCCGTCTACATCCTTGACTTATGCACTTTGCTTGCTGCTGATGCTGCTGCTGCTTTTAGAACTTGCTCCGAATGAGTAACATTTGTATTCCTGAGGAACTTGTTTACAGGGATTTTAGCCCCAAACCCTAAATAATTGAGTAGTCTCCGACTTCTTTTCCACCCCCCTATATTTACATAGGGGTAGGTAATTAGGGTTATATGTTATACCCTACCTACCCCTATGTAACGCCTGCATAACCCCACGAATCATTCTGAGGCGACCTTGGAGCCTTCCACAGCCTTTACATGCAGCAGGGACGCGGGATGACTCAGAACTCCTGTGGCCCGAGTCGCCCTATCCCTCAGTTCAGCCTAAATTCTCCCTCCCCTGCAGATAGCAATGCCGGCGGAAGCTCCATCTTAAGAACTTATGTGTTTCCTTCTCATTTGCAGGGGAGGAGAGTGGAAAAACTGTCTACAGAACACCGACACAACACCCCAACACTTTTGGTTTTTCAACATGGCTGCTTGTGGTCAACAACCGCACCACTATCTCATCCCTGAAGCGCTGCTTCAGCCATCAAGCACTGGTCATGACCTTAGGGTTGCATGTCTAGGGTGCCACATGCTTGAAAGGCTAGGCGGGCATTATCCGCAGCATTACATTTCACTAGGGCGTGGGCAGCCAACCGCGTAGAACATGACGCCCTCGGCTGAGGTTCGGAATTCTGGCTCCGCACAGGCTCAGGTCATGCTCTGAACTTGTGAACAAATGGTAATTTCCCAAACTAAGGGGACCCCAATATAGGCCCCTAAATACTATAATCCTTTTTATAGGACACCTAGAAAAGTACCCCTAATTTTGGGAAACCCCCAAATAAGCTGAATGGCTGGGTGAACGCCACATGCATCAGCCAAGCACCTTGCCATAGCATCGCATCCAAGTTTTAGATGGGTTATATTGGGGTTATATTGGGATAATGGAAAATGAAATGGAAACTACTATAATGGGGTTATATAGGGTTTAGGGTTTAGGAGCTTTGGCCATTTCACTGTTCTGCATCACTATTGCTCAAACTTCAATGTGCGAGGGCTTCAAGACTCAAGACTGCAATACCAATTGTTGCTTCACCCTGGCGCCGTCCGCCTGGGAAAGTAATCTTACGAGGCCGAGAGCGGGAGTGGGCCCCGCTGTGGTCCCTACATGCCTTTTGGACATGCGTAAATAGACACAAACATTTTATCTTGCTACCCACACACACACACAAAGGAATACATGCATGCATGCCTGCATACATGCATGCCTGCATATGCATCTAAGATGTTTGCTCCCACGCGTCCCTCAAGCACTGGTAAAGCTGCTTTCCGGGCACATGAGCAGTTCGCGGAACTCCCGAGGCGAGGTGAGTGAGCATCTCACCTGCCGAACTCAGGGTTTAGGGTTTTGGTTTTAGGTTTAGGGTTACTCTCCTAAAACAGCCGGTCCCCTACAGGTATGATTATGTGGGAACACATAGGGAGTGGGCAGGGTTTACAGTTGTTTAAACTTCTGCGTCGCTTTTTGAAGGTCCTGGCTCTAAGGTGCGTATTCTTTCCTGCGGAATTGGGGGACCCCTATTTTGAGAGACTTCAGTTTTCAAACGTCTTGGATTGGCGGCTCTGCTGCAGCCCGTGCGTGCCAAACTCTAGGTCTTGCCAGCCTCAGCATCACGATGGGTGATGTTGTAGAAGAGCCGGTCTGTATCGGAGAGGCGAACACGGTTCCGGAGAATGGGGTTTCTCTGGATGAGCTGTACCTCTGCAGCAGGTCAGGGCATGCCAGAGTGATTCTGGTGGACTTCTGATGAAGAACAAAAATGTCCATGGTCAAGCAGTCACTAAAACAGAGATGCGCGCACTGGCCACAATAGAATCATGATGCATATATGTGTGTGTACATATATGAGTGAGTATCTACTATCATGTATCCATTTAAGAACCAAGACTTGCTAGATATACCAGTATTTAATGTCGACGTGTTTGTTGTCCGCAAGAGAGCCTGCAGTCTGTTGGAATTGATTTCGTCTGAGTCTCCAACAACTTTCTGCCATTCTCGGAACCGCAGCTCACCTTTGACGCACATATGCCTCAGTTGATCTCAGCTTGAAGCCTAAACGCTCAACCCTACACCCCGAACTCTAATCCCTGAACCCTGAATAGTCTAAACTCCTAGTATCCCGCTTAATACTCCCTATAATACTCCCCTGTGTACATATTGGTTATACCTTCGATGATAAACTTTATCTCCGGTCCCGGCTGCTCGAAGACGCCATCCACCCAGCTTTGCCTCCTTCCTCCTCCTTTGTCGAAGAATCGCCTGTTTGGCGGGCTGCAAGCTCATGCTACATTATACAGCCCCAAGCTCGCATCATTGTTTGAAGATCGTAGCATGCATTGCATCCTACTATAATGGGGTTACATAGGGTTATATAGCGGTTCTATTGGGGTGATTTTGGGATAACGGAAAAGAAAATGGAAACTATAGGGATTGCAGGGATTCTATAGTTGGGCTGTTGGACCTTCTTTGTCGTCGCTGGATTGGCGGAAGATCCAGGAGACATCCTCGGCTACCTTCTTGAAGTCCTTGCGCTCCTAGGCCAGGCAACAAGAAGGGGCACTGAGCCAAGGCAGGGTAGGGTGTTGCAGAAAGTGATGAATTAGCCAATAGAGTAGGTAATAGAAAAAGTAATAGGAAATGAATTAGGTGATAGAGGAAAGTGATCACTGCTGCCACCGCAGGGATGTGAAGCAACCGATCCCAAGTCTCCCCTCCTGAATCACTGAGCTGCGCCGGTGCCGGAAAAGGATCCTGGCAAAAGTTGACTGAGTCTGCGCGTGTCAGTCGTAAGTCGTCCGTTCGCCTTTGTCCGCAGGATGATATGGTAGCTCCATAAATAAACGGACTCCAACATAGATCCCAACATTGCACTATAATCCATATTATGAGTGAGAACCCCGAGAAGGGACCCCTACTTGTGGGAAGCTCGCAGAGGTTGGTCACGGCTGCATGGCACTCCATCAGTTTCAGGGTTATGTCTGCCAGAGAATACTTCTTTGCAGGGCTCATGTCCGGGGTGGGGGGATGTGTCCTTATCTGAGCGGTATGGCATACAAATGTTGCTCCAATTGGTCAAACTGTAGGAGCAGCAGTGCTATCATCTTATCCGGCATCCTCTCTACATGAGCTATAGTCTGAACTCCTAGCATCCCCCTTAATAACCCCTATGATACTCCCCTATATAATCCCCCGCTAAAGAGTTTATATACCTCCGACAATGATTACTCATATTTGTACACGGTCTACGAAGAAACCTGCCAAACCTCTCTTACGTTTTATCGTGTTTCCATGTGCTTGGCCAAGGCACTGCCCAGCAACCTCATGGAATTGGAGGTTGCTGCGTTCCACCAGCTTCCTGAGGCTTCTACCACATAAACGTGTGCATGCAGTGTAGAGGGAATAAGCTCTATACATGCATGTTGCATCTTCAGCAGATTACATGTACAACCTAAACCCTTAAAACTAAAACATACGTTGTACAACTAGGTCTTCTAGAAAAACGTCAAAGACATTTGCAAGATAGTTTAGACGGAGAGGACTGGAATTCCTGGCCGAAAGGAAGGGCATGATGTGGTGTCGTGCATGTTGAAGTGGGTTGCTGCTGGTAAGGAGCTGAAGTTAAGCTATCATAATGCAGGTATACAGCAAATAGAAGGTTTCCGCATTTATAGTAACTTGATTTAAGTTCATTGCAGAGAATGAGGCAGTGACCTGACCACGCCCCGAAAAGCCCATCTTCCTTTCTCTGGGTTCTTGTTGAAATACAATTAAGAAAGATCCTTTTTTAATTGATATTGGGCCCAGGTATCCATAAAAAGGTAAAATTCTATTCTACAAGAGCCCAGTTCTGAGGACTCTCAACGGCAGGCAAGAATTTTGAGACATCGTACCACACCCCACTTCCCAACATGCTGTTGACCTGAATCTCTACCCATGCGAACCTTTTTAGACCCGCCCTGGTCTGGACCAGCAAATATCTAGGCTTAGGTTCGCGTGTGAAAGGCTCGCTATGTAGGGGTATGGATCAAAGGGCATCACAAACTCACAGCTACCCTAAACGCTAGACATGGTTCCTTACGGGCTACTAGTCAAAAAATGCATCAAAGAATCCGTTCCGGCCATATCTAGCTATAATGCCAATCAGAAACCGTTGAAAAACATGACCCAGAAAGGCCCAAAGCCTAAACTGTAAACCCTAAACCCTAAACTTCTAGACCCTACTCCGAACCCCAAACCCTACACTCTCAGCCCTAAACCCTAAACCCTAAACCCTAAACCCTACTCTCAGCCCTAAACTCTTGAGGCCAAGAAGCCGCACTGCCGACACGAAGACCTCCGCCTTGGAGCCGCCAAGGTCTGCCTAGAAGGATCTGATAAGGTTTTGGGCTTAGGGTTAAGGGTTAAGGATGGGGTTTAGGGTTTAGGGTTTAGGGTTCAGGGTTCAGGGTTCAGGGTTTAGGGTTTGGGGGGGGTTCCCCAATAAAGGGTTTACGTCTCTTTGGCTTCTTTGAGGGGTCCATCTTTGTGGCCATGTTTATGGAAACCTCCATTTAACCTCGTTCGAGGTTTGAGGCTTGAGGGTTTCAGTCATCCCTAGACCCTAAACCCTACACTCCCCCAAACTAACATGGAAACCCATATAGCCCCCTTTTTAGAAGGACTGTAGTCTTTATAGGGCTCTTTTTGGGTTTCCATGTTAGTTTCCGGGAGTGTATGTTGGTTTGGGTTTCTTGCGAAGACGTCTGCGAGCGTAGCATTGTTGAAGAGCTGGATGCCCACAGCTGCTGCTTGAAAAGGGAGTTGTACCGCCCAATTATGCATAGCTTTGCCCTATGTAACCCATTATGACACTTTATACCCTCATTAAACCCCATATGAGCTATAGTCTAAACTCCTAGTATCCCCTTAATAACCCTACAGTAGTCTATAATTCCCTATATAACCCCCTTTAAGGAGTTTAGACTATGGCTCATGTAATACATACATGCAGATTTCAAGGCAACTTCTGAACCCGAAGCTCCAAGCCTGAACTGCTGAGCCTCGAGCCCTGGAAGCCTGAAACCTGCCTTTGCCTATGGGTTTAGGGTTTAGGCTATAGAGTCCCCCTTGAGTAAATAGAATATAGCTTTGGGTATGTTATAATAAGATCCCATATACCCCCTGCTTTATCTACTGAAGGGGGACGATAGCGTTTTATCACGGAAAGTCAAGTGACGCTTCAAACTAGACATGTATCACGTGATGGTCACGCCTCCGCCGTACCTTTGGAGGAATTCCGTCGCAGAGGTTCCAAGGGCCAGGATGATGCAGCTGGCGCGCAGCCTTCGCAGATCTGCAACGCTTTGCAACGAAGGGGTAGGCTCGTGGGAATGGGTACGGCAACGCTCCCGGATACAAGGTTACTATTGTATATTGGGCTTATACAGGGATAATGGAAAAGAAAATGGAAACTAGGGGTTATGTAGGGATCCTTTCCTGTACTGCAATGCTCCCAGAATCCTAAACCCTTAACCCTAAATCCTAAACACTAAACCCTAAATCCTAAACCCTAAATTCTAAACCCTAAACCCTCATGCTAAGCTTACAGCCTGAGCTTTGCTTGGACCTCTGCCGTGGCAAGGAGCACCTGAGTATTGTCTTCTTGGTGGTTGAACCTAGTAAGATACTATTCCTGATATAAAATACTATAGCCCAAAGAGAGGATAGAATCTTACTCTATTTTGGGTACCATAGTACCCACAAATAAAATACTACTCACCTGGCGCGACCCAGGCGAGAAAGATCTGATGACTGCCACCAGAGCCTATCTTTGCAGAAGAGTGGGGTTGGCAGGCTTCAGTCTTATTGACTCTGCTGCCTTTTACATCGGGCATTTGCGGGTGGTCTTGTGGAGTCGATGCCTGAAATCTTTGAGTCTTGACATGTTCAGCCTGGAGTCCTACACAGGTTTAAGGAATGCAGAAACGCTGAATAAACTCGACTGTTGCATGAACACCACCACATCGATTGCAGGCGGGCTGCCCACACTCTCGCCCGGGCCCCGAACACTTATCTGGGGATGGGAATCCGGCGTTCGGCTCCGTCACAGCTGACTTTGACGCAAAGGCTAACACCCCTACAAGCAACCCTACATAAGCCTATACAACCCTATATAACCCCATAACCCTATATAACCCTATATAACCCCGTATAACCCTATATAACCCCATATA